GTGGTAGCAGCCCTGCGGAAAGAAAGAACGCGGCCAATCAATTTCTGGCCCGGGGTTCGAGCAGAGGAAGGTTAACGCCAAGAGCCCTGGATACATTCGGTAGTGCCATCTGAGTAGACAACCTCTGTCATCCGCTCGCTGGTAAAATCACCTGCGCATGGGGGGCCGACCGAGTCGGTCGGACTGAAGAGGGCGTCGCGAAGTCCCTGATTCACTCGGACGTGTACCCCGGGACCATTGCGAATACCTTATGCCCGCGAATTCATCGAATGCCGCGCTTCTCCACGACCGCCCCGAAGCCGTGCCCGCGTCTATCATGTTCTCGCGCATCTCGCGCTCGGCCGCGCGCGTGGCCAAGCGTCGGAGTGCTTAGTTCGACGCTGGGTCGCCCGACTCGCGAGTCCGCGCGCGCAGCTCGCGCTGCAGGAAGTCCATCTCGGAGATCTCCATGAAGGCGTAGCCCGCAAACCTCCCGAACGTGGCTCGTTCCACGCGGCGCGGGGCGCCCGTGCTGATGAAGCCGCCGATCGGGGGCCTCGTCCAGCGCATCTGGCAGTCGTCGCGCGCCCAGAGGGTCTCGATGTTGCCCTGGAGGCGCATGGCCTTTGCGGGGCGCGCGCGCGGCCTGGTGGTCGTCTCGGCGCCCGAGCCGTCGGGCTCCAGCCTCCTGCCCGCCGCGAACCACTCCCCGCTGCTGATCTTCAGAACTTGCGACCCAGGTCCCCGGCGCCCCCGAGCAGGTTCTCGCGGGCGTTCGCGCCGACGCGGGCCTCCAGGCGGCGCCCCGCGGCCACGCGGTCCAAAACGGAAAACAGCGTAAGACAGAATTGATTCCACTTCCACGTCCGATTATCAGGGGTCATCGCGGGGTGACTGGACCTGCTGGCGGTCGGTGTTTCCGGTCGCGGCCCCTTCCCGGCGAGGGCGCGCCCTGCGCGGTTCGACGTCGCGCGGGGCGTCGGGAGCGCGGGCAGTCGGCTGAGGAAGACAGATTTGAACTGAAAGCGCTCGTGGGTTCACGTAGCACACGGCGCCCCCAGGCTCGGCGACTCGGCGGCGTCCCTGAGCGCTGGGAGAGACTGTTATGATGTCCTTCTTTCTCTTCCAACCTTCCTCGGGAAAACCAAGTCACAGCGCGCGCTGCCTGCCCCCGCCTCGCGCGCTCTCGACTGGCTGCCGCCGAATGCCTTGCAGGCGACAGCGCCACCTGGCAAGCCAAGAACCACGCCATGCTGTCTGAGCATCTCCACCGGAAGCAGTAGAGGCACATCACAGGCGATCAAATGCACGCCAAGGTAACCTCAATTCTTTGCAACGGCAACAGGCGAGGTCCTGCCGCGGGGAAACTCGATGGAACCTCTAACGCCCATGGCGCCAATTACCCGAGTAGGTATCTGCGTGGACTTCAGACCGCAAGTACTCCCAAGATATGTCACCATATTCCTGGAGTCCAATGAAAGCCGGATCTCCAACGTCGGCAGTTCCAAAGATAGGAATGGTAAAAGAACTGTCTCCAGACTGGATCGTAGGTCCCCGTTGACGGACGTCGCGCGGAGCATCGCCTGCTTCGAAAGGAACTGATTGGAAGCCGCCGAAGCTTGCTCGTCGCCTGCGCCCTCGCTCGTCTGGCTCGTTCGCACTGTCCCACGCCCAGCGCCCCATCTGTCCGCGTCGGGCACATTTCGAGCGACTCGTCGATTTACTTTAGGTCCACCGCCTGGGTCGAGCATGTCCAGCCCCTTCCCCTCGACGCCATCCCCTCCGGGATCCTTTGGACTTCTCTCTCTCTCTCTCTCTCTCTCTCTCTCTCTCTCTCTCTCTCTCTCTCTCTCTCTCTCTCTCTCTCTCTCTCTCTTTATGGTTTTTTTGTTGGGGGGGGCTGCTTGAACAAAAGCCTCGTCCAAGCTCCCGTTTGTGCAAGTAGCGTCGTACCAGACTGCAATCAGCGTAGACGGCAACGGCCCCATCCTCTTCCATGACCACATCGTCGGGCAGGCCCTCAGCTACGAAGAGTGCGGTGTCGTCGACCATGTGCTTAATGGCCCCAGTCAGGATCTCGTCTTCCTCATAGAACTCGGACAAGGTAAGCGAAGACTGTTCCATGACTCCATTGAAAATCGTCGCGATCCGACTCCCGCCCCCCCGTTCCGCCATCATCTCCTGGATATCTGGCGAAATGTGAGGAGGAACTCATGCCGTGGGTGCGATGGCCGCCTTTGCCAGAAAGTAATGGTCGTTCACGCTTCTGGAGCTTGTCACATTCCATATCAAAGTCGTATGATCCCTCTGTCCAGTGTTCAACCGCATCCCAAGCAGCGCCGTTGAGCTCGGGTTCTCTAAGAAGCACGCACCCTTGCAACTCCTCTGGCAGGGTCATGCGCTTCTCGGGTTCTCGGACAAGCGCGCGCTCACGCGTTTGACCGGGGATGTATCTCGCTTGCGCTTGGTGCCGCCCGAATAGACAAGCTACCCAACAGCCTTCTTATTCGGCACAATCTGCCCACCTTCCTCCTAAGACAGCTGGTCCTCGCTGAGTTCGCCAATGATGATCTCGAAGTGTTTTGGCATCGCGATAGGTGAGGTATCCGCGTTTCGCTTTCTGGTTTCTGGTAGAAGCGAGCCACATCTGAAGTTTCTTCATATAAGGGTCTAGACGAGTATCTGGACCTTTTCCATCCCAAGTGGGAGGAGGGTCGTCCGGTATCTTTGGGGCATCCGGTTGTTCACGACATTGTCCCCGTCGGCGATCAGCCGACCTGGCAGCGGTATCTCCAGGATAGGTCGGAACAAGAAGGGTAAAAAGGCACAGCCTGTCCTCGCAGAGGCGTGCCCTTCCGATCTGGTGAAGCCAGCGAACCACGTCCCCGCGCAGTCCAACCTGATGAGGATAGTTGCGTATTGGGATGTGCCTCCGTCCAGGGCTATGAGAGCCAGCGGGCCCAGTCCTGGTCTGACCAGCCCACATTGTCATCACCTTCCCAAGGAACGTCCTCCCGTCTTCCAACTCCTGCCCAAGGATCCTGATCTGGTTGTAACCAAAGATCTGCTGGAAGTTCATACTCTTGAAGCGGAGCGTCGTCTGGAGAATCCATGGCGGCGCTCGGTGCAATATGGCTGGGAGCGGGAAGAACGGGATAACAGTAAAGAATCTGTCGCCCGAGAATCGAATGACAAGGGGGTCGTCCTGAATCCCCTCGTGGATCTCAACCACAGGCTCCGCTGCCACTGTGAATTGTACGGGGGTGACTGTACGGATACAGAAAAACACGAGGTATAATTAGGGGGACCCGTGCGTGCTAGAAGACAACACGTTCATTTTCCTTCTACGGAGGCGTGGGCGCATCCGTCACCGGCGCGCCATGATAGCTCAAGGGCCCTTGTGAGCCGATATGGCGGCGCACGACGGAATACAGAGAGAGGCGCAGTGGGAGGAGAACGACCTGGGATAACCCCACGAGATCTCGAAGACGGCCCCAAAGGGTTCCAGGTGTTCCGACGCGCTCCCGAAACGACCCCAAGTAGCCCCAAGACGGTCCACGACGACCCAAAAGAAGCCGTCATATCCCCAAACATTTGTCTCAAACGTCCCAAGAGGCCTCCAAGAGCACTCCCAAGAAGGCCCCAGGAGGCAGAATTCATTGATGTTTTGTTGGTTGTTGGTGAATTTGGGGGTTCTCCCCTTTTCGGCTTCCCGACGCTCCAAGATGGCGGTCTTCTGGACGTCCGAAGCCGCCTGGGAGGCTCGAAAATCTCCCCCATCCGAAAAGGCTTCAAGGCAGTCCAAAAGAGCCCCAAGACGGCACAACCGGGGTCCAAGATGGCCTGAAAGAGCCCCATGACGGCCCAAGATGGCCCCATGACACCCTCCGAAGCATTCCAAATCGTGACCCGGTCGTTCAAGAAGACCGCGGTTGGAGGCAAGGTGGCCCGAAGAAGCCCCCAGAAGCCCCCCAAAGACGCCCAGGAGGCCTCCAGAAGGCCTTCAGAAAACCTAAAAAACTTTCGTGAGGCCCCCAGAGCCTCGCCAAGGAGGAGCCGCCGCAAAAAGAGCTGAGGAGGATGGGGACAATACGCTGGGCAGGGCGAAAATGAAGAACAAAAAACATGGAGGAAGGATAACGAATAACATTATTATAACCGCGATGCCGGGAAAGGCAACAAGGAATTATCGCTAAGTTGTCAGCTTGACCTTTCTGTCATTCCACCTGCATACCAAACTCCAAGGACCAAGGTGCATAGCGCGAAGCGCCAATGCAGTCTTGTATCATGTGTGTATGTATGTGTGCATATCTATATATATATATATATACACATGTGCCGAATGCTTGCGATTCGGTTGGGCGCGCCTTCTTCGAGGCATTTCAATCCCGACCCCACTGAATTCACGAATTCCTCCCAACTGTGTAAAAACCGTGCCCTCTTGCACCCGCTCCTATACAATCGCCCCAAATTGTGCACTCAGGCAGTGGGACAATCTCCTTCCTCCCCACAACGTCCAGAAAACTTCCCACTAGGAGAGAGTAGCAATCTCACCACTCCGCCCAGAAAGAAAAAGAAAACGAGCCGGAGTCAGGGGCCCAGCCCCGGTCCGACGGACCGACCCTGCGAGGGCCGCGCGGGCGGGCCAGGGCCCGGGTCACTCCAGGAGTCGGATGGGTGGGAGCCAGAGCTGGAGAAACGCTGAGAACCAGAGCCAAACGTGAGTCGGGACTGGAGAGACATGTCCGTAGCTGATGCGGACGTCATCACCAGAGTCAGGGAGACGAGGGCCAAAGCCAGAGAACGAGGAAGCCAGCAATGCCAGTGTTGCAAGATACGTCGTTGATGATGCTCGTGAGGTAGGAGCTGGAGTTGGAGCAACGCGAGGGCGGACGAAGAAGCAAATCCAAGCAACACCAAACAACCGGACAGACAAAACACGGTACACACAGCGTGGCCAGAGGCCCGCGAGCGCCAGCGACGAAGGTGCCCGAAAGAGCAGGGGCGGCGCGACTGGGCTCCAGCTCGCAGACGGCCCGCGACATGGAGGCCAGCGAAGCCTCGGCACTGGGGGCGGCCGGGACGATTTGCATCGGATACGTTTGGCTCAGGATACAGCCAGAGAGTTTTGCTTAGCGCGTCGCGGCGCCGGTCCCAAGGACACGATGTGCCCTGCGAGCTGATATCGTGTTGCCCCGCTTCGCGGAACAGGAGGGTCGCGCCGAAGCGTGGTGGGCCAGAACGGGCGGCGAAACATGCTAACCAAAAGTTCCCGACCGTACGTTCCGGGAATTCTGGGTGGCCCTCCTCCACTCGTGCTCGGCGATTCGTCTCAGACCGCGGGGGGCACCACGAAGATCCGGGAATTTCGGAACTCATCATCATCGTCATCATCATCAGCAGCAGCATCATCATCAGCATCATCATCACCATCACCATCACCATCACCATCACCGTCACCATCACCATCACCATCAATACCACCATCATCATCATCATCATCATCATCATCATCATCATCATCATCATCATCATCATCATCATCATCATCATCATCATCGTCATCATCATCGTCATCATGACCTCCTCTGAGCGGGGAACGCTGACCTCCTCGCGTCGCGAAAAAAAAACACGACGGAACATGTGCCGTCGTTTCCAACCTCTCGGGGCCCCTCACCTGGGCTCCGAGACCATTCAAAACGACTTGGGATGGACAAGCTGGTCTTGAGGAAAGGAGCCAGACCGCCGGGGGCCACGTCCTGAAAACAAAAGTGGGGAGGGGAGCGAGCCTGCTTTCCGTGAGCTCCGTGCCGCCATCCCCTTGTACACACATGCCCTCACATGCACTCCGGCAGGGGCGCGACACATCTCTGGCACCAACCATCCAGAGGAACGGACAGCAGAACGAGATTCGAACTCGAAAGGAACGGATCCTGGAGGAAGGGGTTCCGGGAAGTGCTTCCACATCTCCACGTCCCTAGGGCCCTCCACAAGGGGGCCCTCCACAGGGCCCGGCACCGCCAAAAGCAGCTCAGAGGCCCACGCATCTGACGTCTTCGCTCTGCTCTGTCCTCATTCCGCCTCTGGGGGCCACCTTCGGACTCCGGGACCGTGAAGGAGCGACTCGGGACGAAAGGCCAACCCAGGGGGGGAGGGTCGGGACTTCCGCGATCTCGCACTGAAAGAAGCCAAAGCATCGGATGACGCGAAAGAGGGAAAGACACAGGAGAAAGAGAAAATAGAAACAGAGTGTGAACATTGACGTGTCAAGAGCGCTCCTACACCTCCGGCCTCGGGCCGTGAAAAACTCTAGTCATACAATCGGGCCAGGGGGGGGGGGCGGGACTTCCGCGAAGCTAGCATTGAAAGGACTCAAAAGATCGAATGACGAGGGAACGAGAAGAAGATACATAAAAAGAGAAAGAGAAAGAGAAGAAATATAAGTTGAACACATCAAAACAAGAGAGAGAGAGAGAGCGCGCAACGAATGCAACCCGTGCACATGGCGGGTTCAAGAACCCCTGAATCAAAACGCCCTGCCATGTCTTGGGGGGCGATTTTTTACTTCTTCCGCCAGCCTTCCACGGGCGAAGCCGCCGCCGTCTTACTTCCGCCGCCTTCCGCCGAGGAAGAGATGGCAACCCCTTCGATCCTCGACGGCGAAGTTCTTTCCGGAGCGCCCCACGTAGAGGTACCATTAGGTCGGGCGTGTCCCCATACAGTTTTGTTTTGCGAAAAATCAAAAGTAGTAATATATATATATATATATATACAAAGCAAGATGATCAAACAAATCGTCCCCTGACTATTTTTGTTATTATTTTGGAGTATTCCTCCTGTAGAGGGACGCGCCCGACTTAAAGGTGCCAGGAGCGCTCACTGCACCTCCAGCCCTGCGCTGGACCGCGGAAAAAGCACTGACTACGCCGCACCGCCAGGCGTCGGCCCGGCGCGCGCGCGTTGGGGGGCAGCCCCCACCCTCGCATCAAAAGCACCCTGTGCCAGGGCTGGAGATAGAGGCCTCCTAGATTCGGGTCCGAATAGATGGGGCCGGAGGATCGTGCCGCATCGCCGATGCATCGGCGATGCATCGACGATGTATCGTCGACGATGCATCGGCGACCTGGGCGTGGGGAAACACGGACTCCACATCGAGCCGCGTCGCCGATGCATCGGCGATGCGGCGGCGATTCTCCGACCCCGTCTACTCCGACCCCGTCTAGGAGGCCTACAGGGAGAGAGGGGGGGAGGAGAAGGCACCGACGACGATGACCAGGGCCGTGGGGACGACGTCGACCACGACCTGCCCCCTCTCGAGAAGGTCGACGGCGCCGCAGGCGGGGCACCGAACATGGAGCAGGTCGACTGACATCCCCAACCTCGTTCGACCCCAAAAGGTCTGGACCCCTTCCCGGAGACCCTTTTTTCGTCCTGAATCGTTTTTTGACGGTCCCGAGGCCTGGCAAGGGCCCTCAGAGGCCGAAAATAGCAAAAAACCTCCCGTCGTGTTTTTTTCACCACGCGAAGGGGTCTGCGGGCACTGTCGGGCCTTCCAGGCGAGACCTCTGTGCCGGGGCTGCGGCCGCGTGCGGGCCCCAGGTGGGGCCTCCTCCCGCAGATGGGGCACCGCACCACGCTCTCGGTGCCTGGCATCCTGCCTCCGGCGTGCGCCCGAGGCCTCGGGGGCGGCCAGGAGGGGGGCGTCCAAGAGGGGGGGGCGCAAATCATGACCAGGGGCATCTGCGCGGCCCAGGGGGGGGGGGGCAGGGACGCGCAGTGGAATGAGAGGAGGCGCCATGAAATCTGGGGAGATCTCGTGGCCCCCGGCACGAGATCCCCCCCCCTAGTCATCACCCCCCTCTTGGCCGCCCCCGATCAAAGGAGAACCGCAAGCTCGGTGCCTGGCATCCTGCCTCCCGCGTGCGCCCGAGGCCGTGCACACGCCCGCCGAACGGGCGCTCGGGCCAGAGCGAGCGGCAGCGGCGCAAAGCTGCTCCTGGCTGCACCTGCGCGGAGGCGACGACAAGGGCGAATACAGCCCAAGAGGAAATGATATCCTACAGGTGAGCAGCGATCGGGGGTCGGCAGAACCCCCTTTCGCAAAACGTGGTTTAGTGAAAACGACCTCGGGCCCAAACCTGGCGGGCGCAAGCCTGGAAAATGACGGCCGCGGCGCCCTCTCCAGAACCGAAAACGGACAATTCACGAATCGACGTCTCAGGGTGGGGGTTCCGTCCACCTCCGAAGCAACGAAGAGAAGCGGGTCTTACGCGAGATGGCATTGCGACTTTACGCGGTGGCTTGCGCGGGCCGCCAGCGTGGCACGCCGCAAGGGAAACGGGGGGCGCGTGCGCGCGACTCTGCGCGGGCGGCGTGCGCGCGTATGTCCGCGCAGACGACTCCCAACTCCAGCGCCGCTCGTGCAAATCTCCTCCGTGGTGGCGACGGAGGTTGAGCAATGACCGGCCGTCCCGGAATTCCTAAAGGCCTACCACGACATGATCTTAGAACCCGATCATGTTCTGAGAACAATTTTGTTAGAACATAAACCCGCTGTGTTAAAACAAGACAGTCCCGGCCAGAAATGTTCTAAGAACATTTCGTCCAGACCACGAAAGGTTATTGGAACATTGCTTGGAAAGCCTATAGGCACGCCAGGACGCTTCGCCACTGCTTGAGGAGGAGGAGCCCATCATGACCGCCCGTGCGGGGCACGAGCACGCCTCGCCCCCCGCCAGGAATCGGGCCTCCGGGTGCGCCGACGGTCCGTGTCTTCGGTGAGGCCCCTCGGCGAATGCGTGCAGGTGCCCGCCCCTGGGTGGTGCGCCCCGTCGCGGGCGCCGCGACGCGGGCGCGGACAAGGGGTGGTTTCCGCAGCGCTGCGAGAGGAGGAGGAGGAGGAGGAGGAGGAGGAGGAGGAGGAGGAGGAGGAGGAGGAGGCGGAGGCGGAGGAAGGAGGAGGCTGCTGCTCTGCCTGGCGCTCCTCCCCGCGGGCGGGCGACAGAGCGCGGGGTGTCACGGCGTCCCCGGTGGTGCCCTGACGGTGCCCCGATGGTGTGCCGTCAGGGACCGAGGGGCCCGGCATCGGCGATACGCCGCCGACTGTTCAGCGACAGGCCCGCGGCAGCGAGACCGCACGGTACGGGGCGAGGTGGGCTGTCGGTTCCCTACAGTCAAAACGTGCATTAGGGACGGGTGGTAAGGACGCAAGGCCCTTGGAGGCCGAGTTGGGATTTGTTGGACGACGGGCGACCAGTGAAAACCGCAAAGGACGGACCGCAGAGGCAAGGACACAAGGGTAGCCTTGATGAAGGCGCGCGTCCTGTCTAGGCGCGTTGACTCTATCTGCAATCAGAGGGCGATTGGGGGTCGATGCGTCCCCCCCTGAGACTGCCCCTAACGATTCCCCTGAGGGACACCTCGGTGATGCTCCCACGGTGTGTCCCAACGATGTCCTGGCTCATTTGAGATCGGGGTCTCGGGGGGGGTCAGGGTCGTGCCCCGATCGCGGGCTGGCGGTGTGAAGACGGGCGCCAAGAGAGCCCCGAGCCATCCCTTCACTCTGGACAACATGTGCTCCCTCAGTCGTTCTGAGAGCACATCGGAAAAGCAGCACTCAACGACAGCCCAGCGAGTTTTACCTCAAATCATCGGCCAGAGGTGCATTCCATTTCCAGGGGCAGAGGGCTGCGGTGATTGGCCGTAGGCTTTGTCGATAGCTCTGAGCACAAGAATGCTCCGCACAAATGTGTGGCTTCTGCCATGTTATGCTTGCGAGCTCGGTAACAATCGGCCGAGTCGCCTCGCGGACAGAGAATTGCAACTCTTCTCTGCGGTGCGAGCATTCACGCCAAGCCTTACATTCAAGATGGTCGAACAAATCCTGCGTTTACCAAATGCCTTTGAGGCCGTAAGTTACCTTCCGTGCTGCTTTAAAGCAGGTGAGCACCACTGTACGTTGACAACGCCTACGTCCTAGGCACTTGGAGAACAGTGCTTAAGCCTGCCTCTAAAGACTCCCCAGCAAGCCTTCAGGATGTTCGTG